CCATGTGGCTGAGCCGGAGGAGAGAGTTGTTAACATGCTGATTATGCAGATGGAAGCACACAGAGCAAAGTATGAAAGGAGAGGACTCCCATAGAGAGGAATAATGGAAAAAGAGGATGGAGGGAGAGCAGGAAAAGGGTAGTTTGAGTGCTTTTTCAAAATAGTAATATTGGTCACCCTACACCAGTAAAGGAGACTTTGTCACTGCCCCATTCTGTGTAGTGAATAGTTTGGTTTGGCCTGAAGCTGTGTCATCATCACACACACTCACCTGTTGTATCAGCGTACTTCCTGTAGTAGAGCTCAGAGAGAGTGAGTGTGTTAAACCGGTAGCTTCAGGGCCTCTAGAAATCAGAGCAAAGCTGTACTACGAAAATAGCAGCTGCCGTGGGATCAGCCACAGATGCCGTTAATCTTAGCAGCCTTCTCTCACCAATGTCCAAGAAAATGTAGCCTTACTTTAAAAACAGTTTTGTTGTAAATGTTTGCATGCTTACATGCACATGGAAACATATTTTGCTGATGCTAAGATGTACTTACAGCCGTGGCTCCATCAGTGCAAAGACTGTGCGCTCCCTTGCCTCAGACACATTTTCTCTCTGGACTGCATGCGCCAAAATTCAATTTTGAACAATATCAGACATCCATTTGTCTTGTTGCTGAAGCTGCTCACCTGCCCTGTGCAAATCATACATCCGCTCCGTCATTAGCTGCCATAAAACTCCATCCCGATGGCTATGGGTGCGTTCCTAATTGCATACTTCTTCTTTTTACTTTTCGTAGGTACTGTAGCTTTCCTTAAAAAGTGTATACTGTTGCATGCAGTATGCACACCATGGGGGACGCTACTTTCTCATAACATGACGCCCTGAACTTTGACCCTCTTACTTTTACATCCGTTACCTTGGAGATTAAACAAACAGCACTTACCGTCATCCGTCATCGCGACTTCTGACAGCTTTGCGGCTCAGTTGATGTGACGTATCTTTAGCTGCGCAGAGACTGTGACTCAGAATAGCCAGAAAAGAATACTGACTTGCATACTGCAAAATCGGACCGGATATAGTAGAACATCCTGGTATTTTTTGCATACTGCATCTGACATACTATGTATTGGGACATACTAAATCTCTTTCTGGCATTTTACATAGTATGGTAGTATGAGGAGGTCCTTTGCATCCAAGGGATTTTTGGGACCTAAAAAGCAGCTCCAAAACTGTCTTGGAGATTTTCTGGTCTTTCTCAGTCTGTCTGCAGCATTGATAAGCTCCTGCTACTGCAAATATTACCTCCTTCTACCACCTTGGGGTCAGATAAACCCCTAGTTTAGCTAACCCCAACTCTTGCACTTAGACCTGACGTGATAACATTGTCCCGTCAGATCGAAGGTGATTAAATTTGCTCATTCTTAATATCATTTTTCATATATTTATAACAGGCTTCTTATCATATGCTGTTCAGAATTTAAAATAAATGTTCAGATAGCCCATTAGTCATGGTAAAATAGCCAACTATTTAGTTGTTCCACCCCTTGTCAATAGGGAGTGCTGCAGCACCCACACCCATGCAGAAGTCCAACACTTAAGTTTATGTCCAGATACATAAAATATCAGCAGAACTTTGTCGTCCTCCTGACAAATGTTTCATTAACATCAGCATGCTAACGCTGGCAGTGCAGTTGCGTAAGCCCAAGGATACATTCTTCGTGCAAAAACAAGGTTGTTTTGATCACACATTCTGTAACAGTTACCGAAATGATTCTAATATTTGCCATCTACTTCCTCCTGTTCCTTCCTGTCCCGACTTCCTCCTGCCACGCACCAGTCATGGTGACATCTGTCTGTCTGTGCAAACACATCTGTGCACAGACGCTTGTAGACACAGCGACGCAAGAACAGTACACGATGGAAACATCAGTGTACATGATCAGATTAGATGTTGGATCACCTCGCCAAACGCATTTGCGTAGTAATGAGAGGAATTGTGGGGACAGGCTTTGTGTTTAAGTGCTCCCTTATCTCCTCCTTTCTTAGGGTGGATTCAACGTGAACTATTGTCTGATATAAATTTTTAGACAATGCAGTTCAAACAGGATATCCAACACTGACCATGCTGCTCCAGCACTATTCCTGGTTTTCCAGGTGGATGAGACAAAGGGATATATTAAAGCTGATGTTGTTTTTTGTGGAGTTACTTGGTGTCAGGTGACGTCTGCCGAATCATCTGTGACAAAAGGATTATAGGCCTACTGGCTGCTTCTCCAGCTGTTGATACACACCTTGTTTCCCCCTCATGTCCAACTATAAACCTTCACATGGTAGAATTAATCGCCAACATTGCCTCTACAGATTCTCCCACTTTCTATAGCCACGTAAAATGCCCAGAGGAACACACATCCCATGGTTTTATTCCACTCGGTGTTCAGCCAAAGTCACAGTCAAACTGGAGTCAACTATCCACACAGAAAAGGAATATCTCCAGTTTTATGGAGTCGTAATGCGGCAGGGGTACTGTATAAATAATCTCTCCACACAGAAACACTTCCAGCTGTTAAACAATATGCCCTTTGCAGTTTCTCTTTTCTTCTCTGTCCTTTTGATTGTATGAAGCGTCTCGCCCAGACGGCTTTGAAAATGAATACAGACGGGTTTTTTTTTTGTTGTTTTTTTTTTTGTGTTGAGAAATTCTGTTGTTGAATATTCGCCTTTTGTGACACCTCCAGATTGTTGCACTTTATACTGATTATTATTACAGAGTGGAGTTGGAGCTCTGCCTGTATCAAACGCTGCTATTGAAAGTCGGGTCATAATGTGAAATTCAAACCTCCGAGTCTGTTTACAATTAGGCTCTTTGAAGCATTCCTCTGTAATCTCGCCCTCCTTTTGATATAAAGATTCAGTATTGATATAAATGAAGGAAATTCTGCCTTTGTTTTTAAAGCCATACCTGTGGCTTTTGATTGATGGATGGAAACTGTACTGTAGATTTATATAATATAGACTGGTTTCAGACCTCACTCTGAGGTTATAGTTCCCCGTAGACTTCAGCAGTATTTGTATCCACACAGTCAGAATGGCGATCCGCAGAGGGGTGAAGCCTCATCCCCGTTGGATAACCATGAAACGTTTGTGAACAAGGGATGATAAAGTAAATCCAAGGCTTTTTTCAGGGGCATCCTCATTGCCTTTGGCCATGTTGCAGCGCTGGTCAGTGGAGGGGGAGATGAGAGGGGAGCCCCTCTTCATCTCGTAAAGATCCAGCCGTTGGGCAGCTTTCACGCTCCACTGGCTGATCCTTCCAGGAAGTGAGGGGGGGGGTATAAGGAGCCCCCCCGCAGAGCCCCAGCATGTACCACTGCTGCATGCTGAGCCTAAATCAAAGGGGGCAGTCTGTCCTTAGCCTGGGGGAGAGTGAGTCTGCTGTGTGACCACAGAGACATGGGTAATAGGACAGCTTGTCACACTTGTGTAGATGCCTGTATTTTTGACAGTGTGTTTGCTTCTCTCCCGCCTGGGTTGCACAGTAATGACACCGTCAAAAACGCTGAGGCCTTGTGCAGTGAGGTCACATTTACAGTCATGACCTTGGCAGCTTTCAGAAGAGACCAAAGGAAGTCATCTAGCCATCTCAGTTATTTCAATTAAGTATGTTAGATCAAACCGATTTAAGTCTGCAATCATACAGTGTTGCAGTGTTGGCAGTTATTGTTGATGTGGAAACTTGAGGTAAGAGGGTCTGGGCTAAAAGGGCACATTAAAGGAATATTTCACCCCTAAAAAATGATTTTTTTTTTGCGTCAAAACATCGGTTTGCAAATGCTCACACAACTCGTGCAGTAAAATCCAAGTCTTATTTATCCAGTCTTTGACTTGGTACCTCCCAATGTATCTTTGATCGCTTCAAAGCCAGACTCCATTGACAAAAACAGTAATTTTACTTCACTGCTCACAGTAGTTGCTGGTCTAACGCTGCCTCTGACAGTTAGTTTACTAGCTTTATTGTGTGTGTTTGGGGAATCCGAACTAATGCTTTAAAACACCAAAGTCACACAAGAACACAGACAAGCTACAGATCCAGGCAGCAGTTGACCAGCAGCTCCTGTGTTCAGTGAGGTAAAATTACAGTTTATTTCAGTGGAGTCTGGCTTTGAAGAGAGCGTAGATTAGTTTCAGTTCCTAGTCGAAAAGGGTTGTCTCTTTGGGAAGTACTGAGCACACGACTGGATAAATGGGACTTGGATTAAACTGCAGGAGTGTGTAAATGGATGTTTTGATTGAATTTTGCTCTTGTTGAACACGGACCCCTGTGACTTCCATTCATTAAGTATTTCCTCTGTTTTTGTGTTCTTTGAGGCATGTTAAAAAGTTCTTCCCAAATTCACTTAGATCTTTACTAAATGATTTTTGTGACATTGACATGTCAGTTACAACAGCATAATAAAATAGTTGAAAAATAATAAGAGCTAACGAAACAAAAACTGCTTGGATAAATACACATTTTTACAGCCTTAAGGATTAATGTATCTATTGATTGTTATTCCAGTCCGATGTCGTCTTTTTGAGTCTTGTATAGAGTCTATTTTTATTTCTTGTAGTCTCAGTAGGTGTGTCAGTTTCTCCAGTAAAAAGATTTCTTCCATTTGTTAGCCATTGGTCCTTTGTTGGTGGTGTTTCTTTGCCCCAATTTCTGGTGATAGCTTTCCTGCTTGCCACTAGCAATATTTTGATCAAATATCTATCGCTAGCAATAACATTTTGTTCAGAAAATTTGCATAGATGACGCACCAAACAACTGTTAGGAACCTCATATCATAGTAGGGAAGAAAAAATAACTGTATATTGGGAAATGGTATGTAAAGAGCTTAAGCATAACACAGGGCGACACTGACACACAGTTGGTCATTTGTGGGGTGAATTATTCCTTTAAAGCTGAACAGACTTGCTGGTCTCAGTAAGTGCAGTAACTAATTAAACTGTGTTTCTTTTGTGATTGTGTTTCAGTTGGTAGCCAGTGAGTCCAGCCCTTTAGATGAAGAGCCTTCAGTTCCGGAGCATTGCCCCCAAGGCCCCGGCCGTGGTGCCCTCCCCCTCCCCTGCGGTCCTGTCCTGCCAGCCTCCCTCTGCCCTCCCTGAGGCCTCCACCGCCTCCAGCCCTAAGTCCATCATTGTGCCCACCCAAAACTATGCACTGATGCAAATAGCAGGTCAGGATGGCACCTTCTCTCTGGTTGCGCTGCCCCCTTCTGTCTCCTCCCAGACACCACAGCAACAACAGCAACAAACCCAAAAGAACCTCAAGTTGCCCATTCCTAGATACCAGCCGGTGAGGAGCAAAGGGACCGCAGATAAGGTCAAGTCACCACCTCTAGCTGCTCGGGTGAAAACAGCCACCAAGGTTGCTGTGACAGCGCAGACGAAGACAGTGGTGAGTGGGGCATCAACAGTGGTGAAGATAAAACAGCAGGAGTCCAAGCACACAAAGGAAACGCCGGTGCCCAAAGAGGAGCGTTCAGAACAAGTAATTCTGATTGACCCAGCCTCCTCTGACATCTCTGTCACTGCTCTGCTCCCAGACAATGCTGTCCTGTACCCAGGTTCTCAGTTAGAGCGAGCGCCAGATGGCTCTGAACGACCTGCTACAACTGGCCTTATTCAGAACCTCCAGTACCCCCCTGCGGCTGTCAAAGGCTCCCCAGGCAAATCCCCAGAGGAAAGTAAGACTACAGTGAGGCTGTGCCAGTCGAAGCCTGCTGCAGCCCAGCCACAGAGCAGTATCACTGTCCTGTCCTCAGCCATCTTCAGCAAAGCTGTCCAGATTATCCCGTCCCCACCTAAAGGTAAACTGCCCATCCTGCCCTACTCTAAAATGAAGAGCACCCTCATCCCAGCTGCCAAGCTCAGCAATTTGTCCCCAGAGAACAAGGGTTTCTCCAGCCAGACAGGCCTCACCAGCCCCTTAGATCCTACATCCAAGACACTTGAGACAGCTGAAGCCGGGGGTCACAACCAGGTGCCAAACTCCACTGTCCAGCCCCAGGCCAAGACCACACTCATGCCTGTGTTGGGAGCCCTCCAAAAACCACCTGGCAAGAAGAGAGGGAGAAAGAGAAAGACAATGGAGGACATCTTGGCATTTGAGGCCAGAAAGAAGAGGTCCTTGTCTTTCTTCCGTAGAAGGGTGCCAGAGAAACCACCAGCAGTCGCTCCAGGCTCCAAACAAAAGGAAGTTGACATTTCAAAGAAGTACCGCAGCATCCGGCCCAAGCCCATGCTGGTTATGGAGACAGTTCCCCAACTGGTTAGTTTGCCTGCCATTACCCCAGACGGCCAAGAACAGGAGCTCGTACTTGGTCATCAGCTCCCCAGCACTACCACAACCAAGACCCTGGACTGCCCTCCCCAGCCAGCTCCAGTAACCCTCCACCTGAGAGGTGCCTCCCATCCCAGAGTGTTCATAGGCAGCCGTCCGCTCCACCGCTGCCCCACATGTAGCCGCTGTTTCCAGTTCAAGCATCACCTCCAGAGCCACATGAACAGTCACACCAACAGCCGACCCTACGTCTGCCCGGTGTGCCGCAAAGCATACGCTCACTCCGGCAGCCTGAGCACCCACATGAAGCTACACCACTCTGAGGTACGCCCACGACGGTCTCTGTGCTGCGAGTTCTGCGAGAAGGCCTTTGGATATGTGGGAGTTTACTTCAGTCATCTGAGAGAGGTCCATAAGGTGGTGCTGACCGTGGAGCCGTCCATCAGCCATCATGAGGATGACCTTTCTGTGGAGGGGTGAGACTATTATCGATTGAGATAACTCATGAATACATGTGCACCTACTTCATTGTGACCTTTACCTCGTAGCAGGTTTTATGCAACTTTTTCCAAACAGTCATAACAAAGTTGCACTGTTGATTTTTTTTTCTCACCAGGGCCAACTCTCCAGAGCCATCAGACGAGCAGGATCGTGAAGACCCCGTGGAGCTGCAGATTAAATGTGGCCGCTGCCAGGCCATCACTCCCACCTTTGCCGACATGAAGATGCACTTGCTGTATGTGCACGGAGAGGAGATCCATGTTCCGCATCACGATGGCCAACCACTGCGGGGTGGCCGCGAGGCTGAGAACGAGTTGGTAAAGCACGCTGCGCATTACTGGCGGCAGCTCAACGAGAAGCGCAACCTGGTCAAATGTGGCAGCTGCGACGAGGAGTTCTTCTCCTTCTCCAAGCTTAAGAGGCACATCATGTCCCAGCACCGTGGAAAGGAGGGGGAGGACAGCGGGACTGTCTCATCACCTGATAGCAGCGGAAGCCTCGGGGTCCTTGCAGCAGGTGCGGCTTTTAACTGTGTGCTTTGCAGCGAGGTGTTGGACACTAAAGACGGGGTTATGGAGCACTGGAGGAGTCGCCACCACTGTGAGCAGCCCGGCCTTCTATGGGACGCACTGAGCTCGTACTCCGGCCACGAGGAGGGCGAGGCGGACGGAGATCCGGACACTCCAGCTCCAAGCCCACACTATCCAGCCTAGCCCAGGGATGGGCGTGGAGCCCCTCACTGTGGCTGCTCCTCACACACACTCAGTCCAAACAATCAGCAGCACAGGAATGGAGAGTTTCTCTTATGTCTTTTATCACTAGCTTCATCTTTCACCAGTTGACGCAAGAGAAAACAATGAAAAAAAAAATCAAACCAATGGTGGAAATTGATCTTTGTGTTACAGTTCATAAGGGGTGCTCTCTCTAGGTCAGAGAATCCAATTTTATAAACGATATTATTTTTCATGTTTTGATTGCACTGTTCTGTTTTTGACATTTCTTTTGGAGGTATGTATTTAATATCCTGTTGGATTATTTTTTTCTACTGCTTATTTAAATCTTATTGAAAGGGTAATTTATAACCTAGCTGACACAGTAATACTGTTAAAGGGTCATTTCACCCAAACGCTAGCCATGTAGATAATTTGTGCACAGTTTTTTGAGAAATCTGCTGAGAGCTCTGCCTCTACCCTGATGGAAAATGACAATTTAAAAGTTTAACGACAACATTTCGTTGCAGAAATAGCACCCCTGTTACTCTGTGGATTATCCAGAGGAAACATTTTTAGTAGAGTACTGTAAACCACACAAATAAAATCCCATTCATCTACATTTCATGGGGTCAGAGGCAGAAAACTCAAGATATCGTCATCTTGACTCAAACTACCAAATCTGCACGGCTGGTTTTAATTTGGGTGGACTGACCCTTTTTGAAATACTGAGAAATGTTAATCTCAAAACAAGGGCACACTGTCTACTGTCACACTGGCTGACATTTTATCTATTGGCCTTGGATTGTTACAGGTTAAGATAAATCCATGTGTGTGTACACAGTCCTTTGATGTAATATTGCTCCTGTAACGGAAAATCAATTTTTAAGTTATGACTTGAACTTTTGCCGTCCGATGACGGGCAGTATTAGGGTCGCCTGTCAACCCGGACCCATGAAGGAACACTTTTCTAACCAGCACCCAAGTGACATCCTTGTGGCCTTCTGAGAAAAAAAAAATATATATATATATATATGGGTGTTCATGCGTAGTGTGGCTTACCGTCAGTATGGTCCTCTGTAGACCAAGTTCTATCTCCTTGACTTGTTGATTAATGCCTATATGTGTATTCTGTGATATGCCAAGGGTCTATTCACACTAGTGATTGTAGAAGTGAGTTTTGCATTTAAGCTTTTTAACCACTGACAGAATACTTTCTGTTGACTTAGTAAATACGCAAAGGAAACCATCGAATTGCCTACCTGTTGTTGCCAGCTCATGTACGCACCTGTGGAATTGTGTGCACCCAGACTCTATTGTTAGAGTTAATATAAACTGTTGTCAAGTCCAGATAATATGCTATTTTATACTCTAGATTAATACAGAGGTCTTTTAGTATATTTATGCTTGTTGTTGGTCCTTAAAGAACCAGCACTGAGACATTGTTATGTTTGCTTCTTCTCAGTTGGGGGATGCTTAATGTCTTGTTTCTTGATGGGAAGCCATTACTACGTGGCGAGTATCTCTGCTAACATTTGTCTGTGTTTACCTTTCATATGAAGAAGAAAAAAAAGCATCACAGGGTCAAGTGAATGTACCTGAATGTTTTCAAAACCCTACCAAAAGTATATATATATATATATATATATATATATGTATGTATGTATGTATGTATGTATGTATATATGCTATATAGACTTATTCCATAGATAGAATATATAGATATATTGAGAAAAAAAATATATATTTACATAGAGTAACTAGTGAATCAGCTGCTGTGTTCTGTCATAGTGGAGGAGGGAAACAAGAGACAAATATATCATTGCCAAGACTGGTAACAAAAGCCATGCAGAGCTGTCCTTATGTGTCTGACACAAAACGTGGGACTGTGAATGAAGGGCGGAGCACTGATGTGCACATGTCGCACTGAGTGGGGATTCGACAGTAATAGGGTACTACTGTTTATTGAATGCCATGTTTGAGTGTTCATCAGTGAGCTGTCCTTTGTTTTCAAGCCCTCAACACAAACCGCTGATGGGAGAAGTTTGCCCTCAGGGCTTTGTGCCAGGAAGCCTCGTCTTGGTCAGGTTTGTAAAAAGACTGTGGTTTTGGTTACAAAAAAAGATATCTGGCAGAACGCCCTGAAGACTTAACTTCTCCCATGTGCACACAAACCAGGAAGTGACAGAATTAAGGGTCAGACTCTTCTTTCCTCAGTTCGATGAGAAACGTACATGACTGTCAGCACAAGTCGGAAAATGAAAACTCCCACATTAGGTGACGTGACGTGTTTGACTCACTTAATATGTTGACTGTGTCCAAAAAAAAGACTGAAAGTGTTTGTGCTCGTGACTGTTTGTGTACCTGAAGAACCCGATGTTTATGAGAATAAAGATATGCTTTGTTGAGGACACTGTGACTGTAGTGCTTTCTTAGGAAAGAAGTATTCAAACACAATTCCATACAATTTCCATAGTATCAGGGGGCCAAGAAAGGTGTATACTTAGGTTCAAAACTTCTAACACAAAAAGTATGTCACCCAACTGGAAATTGTTTTCAACTGTGCATGTTAGGTGTCATGACATTTTGCTTCCCTTGGGTAAAGTTAAATCAAATGTAAGCCTCCGAACTGCAGCTACAAGCCTCTGAAAGATGACTGGTGAGGTTATGTAGTCCTAATGTGTCACTCAGTCTGCATTTGAACTCTGGATCCAGACCAGAGTTTGCCTATTGAGTATCTAGGCTTTGGAAATTAAAAAAGGACATCAACACACACTTAATACCTCTAGAAATAAGGGACAATTATAAGACAATAACAAAATATGTCTGTCAAGCAAACATGTCAAAAGCAGGGCTGCAGCCAACAATTATTTATAATTATTACTGATTGTTTGGTCAACAGATTGTCAGCAAAAAGCATAAAATGCCCATTGTTATATTTTAAAGCTCAATAGTTTGTTTTGTCTGACCAACAGTCCAACACATGCACAGTTTACAGTGGTGATAAGATCAAGAGTCAGCAGCTCTGTGAAGCTGTGCTTGCAGATAAATACTAACATGGTCTCAATGACAATGGTAACATGGCTATATTAAGCATATATAATGTCTAGTATGCAAACATTTGAGAACTAGCGTAAAGCACTAGTATTGGGGCTGATTTAAATGTAATTTCTTTTGGAGGTATTTGGTGGTAAGTATTGGACAAATAGAAAATTTGACCTGAAAGTTATAACACATCATTCTGGGGGGCACACAAATATGTGCAGCAAATTTTATGGGGTTCCAACGAATATTCGTTGAGACATTTCCCACAAAAGCATAAATTTCAATCTCTTGAGGGCACGAAAGGAGGTGTCACCAAAGTCATTAGGATACTTTTTTAAAGTAAAATCAACCCGTTCTTATTATCAAATCATCAAACGCTTTGTCATGCCCCCTTGGCATCTGGTACTGATGCTTGTGGTATACTATGTCTTAGTAATAGTAATAGTAAAAATAATAGTAAAATATGTTGTCCAAAACCATGAAAAAAAAGTCATAATATAGTATGTGGTCCAAAACCATGATAAAATCTTATAGTATAGTATTTTTTAAAAATAATGAAAAAAGTCATAGTATGTCGTCCAAAACCATGGTAAAATCTTATAGTATAGTATTTTTCAAAATAATGAAAAAAGTCATAGTATAGCATGTCATCCAAAATCATGATAAAAAAAAAATCATAGTATAGCATGTCGTTCAAACTAATGAAAAAAAGTCATAGTATGTCGTCCAAAATCATGAAAAAAAGTCATAGTATAGTTTGTCGTTCAAAATTAAGAAAAAAAAAGTCATAGTATAGGATATCGTTCAAAATTATGAAAAAAAGTCATAGTATAGGATATCGTTCAAAATTATGAAAAAAAGTCATAGTATGTCGTCCAAAATCATGAAAAAAAGTCATAGTATAGTATGTCGTTCAAAATTATGAAAAAAAAGTCATAGTATAGTATGTCGTCCAAAATCATGAAAAAAAGTCATAGTATAGCATGTTGTAAAAAGAAAAAAAGTCATAGTATAGTATGTCGTCCAAAATCATGAAAGAAAGTCATAGTATAGTATGTCGTCCAAAATCATGAAAAAAAGTCATAGTATAGTATGTCGTCCAAAATCATGAAAAAAAGTCATAGTATAGCATGTTGTAAAAAGAAAAAAAGTCATAGTATAGTATGTCGTCCAAAATCATGAAAGAAAGTCATAGTATAGTATGTCGTCCAAAATCATGAAAAAAAGTCAAAGTATAGTATGTTGTAAAAAGAAAAAAAGTCATAGTATAGTATGTCGTCCAAAATCATGAAAGAAAGTCATAGTATAGTATGTCGTCCAAAATCATGAAAAAAAGTCATAGTATAGTATGTCGTCCAAAATCATGAAAAAAAGTCATAGTATAGCATGTTGTAAAAAGAAAAAAAGTCATAGTATAGTATGTCGTCCAAAATCATGAAAGAAAGTCATAGTATAGTATGTCGTCCAAAATCATGAAAAAAAGTCATAGTATAGTATGTCGTCCAAAATCATGAAAAAAAGTCATAGTATAGCATGTTGTAAAAAGAAAAAAAGTCATAGTATAGTATGTCGTCCAAAATCATGAAAGAAAGTCATAGTATAGTATGTCGTCCAGAATCATGAAAAAAAGTCAAAGTATAGTATGTTGTAAAAAGAAAAAAAGTCATAGTATAGTATGTCGTCCAAAATCATGAAAGAAAGTCATAGTATAGTATGTCGTCCAGAATCATGAAAAAAAGTCAAAGTATAGTATGTTGTAAAAAGAAAGAAAGTCATAGTATAATATGTTGTCCAAAATCATGAAAAAAAGTCATAGTATAGTATGTCGTCCAGAATCATGAAAAAAAGTCAAAGTATAGTATGTCGTCCAAATTCATGAAAAAAAGTCATAGTATAGTATGTCGTCCAGAATCATGAAAAAAAGTCAAAGTATAGTATGTTGTAAAAAGAAAGAAAGTCATAGTATAGCATGTCGTCCAAAATCATGAAAAAAAGTCATCATATAGTATGTCGTCCAAAATCATGAAAAAAAGTCATAGTATCGTGTCATAATCGTGGTGTGAATGTGCCCTAAGTCTCCTGTGTTTATTCCGACCTCCTACATACATGGACTTTGTTAATCTTTATAGCAGTTGGTGTGAGCAGCTCATACTGCAGATACAGATGGTTTTACACTGGAGTTAGTTGAAAGCCTGGTGCGTCTCAAACAGACACAAAAGAGTGGCTTGTGCATTGATGTCAAACACCAAGGGAAGTGACACAGCATCAGTATTTGACCGCCTAGGAATGAACCGGGCTGGTGAAACCCTTGGCTTGCTGGTAGTTTAAGATGAAAAGTCAGCAGGTGTTTCTATAAATGTCTCTACAAAATTTCACGGCATTCCATCTCGTATTCATTTTTTTGTAACTGCTTATTGGGCAAGAGGCTCGGTACACCGTGGATAGGTTGCCGGCCTATCACAGGATCACCATTCACACTCACATTCGCACATACGGACAATTTGGAGTCACTAATGTGCAAAACCCATGCAAACACAAGGAGAGCATGCGAACGCCACACAGAACGGCTGGCCGGCTAGTGAATTCGAACACAGAACCGTCTGGCTGTGTGGAGAGGCCTAAAGTGTCATCTATACAGCTACGTCGCTAGCATGGCTAAAGCAGATGAAAGCCACAAATCCTTTGCTTTGAGACACTGGAACCAGAGAATGTTTGCTTGATAAATACATCATAAAACGGCCAGTTAATTTTCTCTGATTAATCGGCTAATCTTTTCAGCTCTAGTAAAGAGCTGAAATATAGAATAAAGCCACCCACCCACACACACACACACACACACACACACACACACACACACACACTTAATACCCCACAGACCTGAACACCTCATCTACTGTAGCAAAGAGGACAGATTGAGTGTATGGCTGAGGCAGACAGGAGGGTAGAGTCACTGTGTATTCATCAGAGGAGATTCAGAGAATGGAATTAATTGATAGTTCACTGTGGAAAGGTGTGTGCATGTGTGCAGTATGTAGGGGTCAAGCAAAGTGGGCTAGCCAAGGGGCTTTTACGAGCCTACATATGCCGTACCTCTGCTCCTCCCCTCCAACAGACCTTCCATCTGTCTGCTTTAGCATCAAAACATTATCAAATGAGTGTGCAAAGGTTTCTGCCTTTTGGTTTTAATGCAAACCACTACTTCGTTTTTACTATCAAAACCACACATGATCCCTGTTACAAAAGGTAGCTTTAAAACACAACATGACTTTGGGTTGGAGACTATTTAGAACGACTGCGGAGACTCAGAGAAAGAGAAGCATACAAACAATAGCTGTATGTCTGGTGATGGCTTCATATTTAATGAATGGAGACGACATTAGTACTGATCTCCATTTTCCCTCTGCGTGTCTTTTTTTCTGCTTTGCTGGGTGCATTTGGAATAAAATGAAACACTAAACCGTGCTTTTTAAAGTCACAGACAACAGAGAGGGACAAATAAGCTCAAGAATGCACTTTGTATTTATTTCCAATGCGTCAGAGCCAAATGCTCTCTGCTCTGCTGCGGGCCCAGCCCTGGTAGTCGTTGCCACACCAGTGTGGAATGCAGGTCCACAGGTCTAATTGATTTGGAGGCACATGACCCAGTATCAAAAGGTCAAAGGGCAACTCTGGTGTGTTTTCTGCCGCTGCTCAAACAAGCAACAGCCCACAAAAGAGAGAAAGTGAGAGCAACTCCCCAACACAAAACAACCCTCAGCTGGGTTTACGTCAACTCCTCAACTTCCTCAAACTACTTTACATGGACTCAAAGGTTTCAAATGAGAGTGACTCAACTTCAGGTGGCTTTCAGCTCCGGTGGAACACAGATAAAGCTGCGACATCAGTACATATCGGGGCCCAATCTAGCGTCGCCATCGCACCACATCGCAGGCGCAGATAAAAAGGAAAGCGCTATACGGTGATGCATATTTCCCTTTAATCAGAGCTAACGTGTACCACAGCCGTCACACTGCACTCCCACCTCACTGTGGCTCTCAGGGGGACAGGGGAGATCAAAGCTACCCCCCCTCTGCTTGTACATGATCAGTGGGAAAGACGGAGAACTGCTCTCTTTCTTTCTCTCGTTCGTTCTGTCTTTGGGTCTTTGAGCTACACCCCCTTCAACACGATCGTGGCCCCAGAAGTGTTGAGATTGAGCAACAAAGGTGAGGGACAGACGGTGTGTACAAACAGAAAATACTTCCTTTAGTGTGTGTACCTGTTTAGCTCCTCCATTTGACCCTAACACTGATCCAGCAGGGAGGAAACAAGACCGCAGAACAACATGCAGGGAGACGGGGAATAACAAAACTGGCGTCACTGGGAG